AAGAATCTATTAATATCCTATCTTAGGATATAATATACCCTAAGAACTTAATTTTAGTCTAATAAAAGATATATTTGCTTTCCTTAATATAAAGGTTAGCTTTTTAAAGACGTTTAAAGACTTTAATAATATACTAAGTATAAGAGACGTGATTAAGGGAAAAAATAAGAATATTATTAAGATAAATAATATAAAATTAATTAAGAATATTATATAAAGTAGATTATAAATAGTCCTAAAAGGTAGTAGGAGTATTTATTAAGCTAAAAGGTATAATAGTATACTTATAGTAACCATATTAATATTAAAAAGCAGTTTTCTAATGATCCTGCTTATTAATATGGATATAATAGTAAGTATTTTAAAGGTTAAGCTTAGTAAAGAATTTAGCATGAGCTAAATAATCTAAAATTTCTAAAATAAGTAGTAGGGGGTATTAATTCTTTATAGTAACCTTATTAAGTCCTTAATAATTAATATATAATTAAAGACCACTATCTTTTTTAGGTATAAAAAGAATTAGAGCCCCTATAGAACTCTATAATAGTTAAATTTACCTAGAAGTAATATTATTATTAATATATTGTTAGACCCTGTATACAGCACACCCGCAGTGCGGTGCCTCAGGCACCGCACCTGCGCGCCGCAGCTCCCGCTTACTGGGAACACGTGACGCAAGAACCACGTATTGCGGCTGCTGGCCTCATAGAGTAAAGACTAGTGATTAGTTTAGCTATAATTAATATACGTGTTCTGAACCCTTATATTCCACTTTATATATATATTACCTGTAGTTATATTAGCTATAGTTTATAGTTCTAATCGCTCACCCCTCATGAAGCCTAAAAATAAGTAGAATAGATAGTGAAATCCTATAGGGAGAGGATTAGGGGTGACTCACGTGGTTATAGAGCTAAAGACTTTAAGGAAAAACAGCCTCTAGTAACTTAACTATAATAATAACCCTAAATAATCTAAATAAAGATGTTAAATTAAGTAAAGATACTAGAATAATACTAACTAACAACCCTACTAGCTAGGAGGAGGGGGAAACTACACGAGTGGCCCCTAAAGCTATAGGAGACTTAGTTAGTGATAAAAGTAAATAGACTTAGGGAACGTCTCCTAAACCTAATAACGAGGAATAAGAGCTATAGTAATAGATAGAGAATCTCTAATAAGAAATATAATAACACTATATAGCCTATTAATAAGAAATTAAGAATATAGCTAGGGAATGCTATAAGAAGTAATTAAGAGATAAAATCTAATAACTTAAGGCTATCTAAGAGGGCTAAGTAAGCTAGAATATAGATAAATTCCTTTACTAACTTAGGGAAGACGAGCCCATTAAATACCCTATACTAGTAATATGGCCTGTAGATGCGGCTAATTAAGAACCTATAGTAGTTATAACGCTATAACCTATAGAAGAACTATCTAACGTGGTTAAAGATAATATCTAAGCTCTAAAATAAGAAGAGTTCCCATGCTAAATACTAGATATAAAACTATTTAATAGCCGCAGCCTGAAGGAACTTAAGGATTAGAAGACTACCATGAAGGTATACTTTAAAATCTATCTATAATACTATATACGTAAGGAAACCAGGGTGCGTAGTAGGCTAAGGATAATTAGCCTAGACTAGTACTATGATTAGACTAGCATGTAGGAGATATTAACCACACCTATTACCTAGGAAGTCTTTACTAACGCGTTACTATGGATAGTTAGTAACCTATAGATCCTCTATAAAGACGCTATTATCCGCCATAGCACAGCAAGATAGATAGAAAACTAGGATATGAGATCCTTCTTATAGTACCTAAGGATACTAACTAATATCTTTAAACCTAATACGTCTATATAGGATAGAAAGGATAACTTACTAGGCAAGATACTACCTATAGTGTAGAATAAAGTAGTAAAGTATCCTATTTAGGACACTATAGATAATAGCTATAAAAGCTACATTACCTACCTATAGGTAGTAGAATAAAAAATGCCTAGCTAGTAAGAAGCTCTCTAAGCTATATAATAGAAGGGGAAGCTCCTATAAGTATAGAAACTAGAATAACTATATAGAGCATAAACTAGTTAACTAAAAAACCTAAAATAGGGAAGCTAACAAAGTCATGGTAATTAAGGGGGTTATAAATAAAAACTATTATTAAACCACCTATAAGAAGGTAAATATAAGCTAAAAAGGTATAGTAACTATGACCTATCTAACTATATAATAGATACCTACTAGAGACCTAGTAGAAAAGCACACTAAAAGGGACTATAAGGCAAGATAAAAAACTTATAAACCTAGCACTTTGCGTGATAGTAGCGCTAGGACTCCCTATAAATCTAACTAAGCTAAAGATAATATCCTTTAGAATAAGGTTAGGCGTGGGTAAAGAGCCATAATTAGCACGCGTCTTATTAGATAGTGGCGCTATGGCGAACTTTATAAGTTAATACTAGGTTAAGGAGAATAAACTATAAGCTATAGGCCTACCTAAAAGTATTAATATAATTAATAGCTATAAAGTCATGTCCTATAGGACCTATTAGCTTAAAATAAAAGCACGGGATGAATCACGTGAGCTATAGACATAGAAGTAAGTATTTAAGGTAGTAGACCTAGATAGCTATAACACTATTCTAGGATGGCTATAGCTATAAGTGGTTAATCCTAAAGTTAACTTCTTTTAACGGTGAAACAGTTAGCCGGACGCCCGAAACGGCTACACTTGACGCCGTTTTGAGCGTCCTGCTAACGCTCGGCGGCCTTGGCGTCACGTGGAAGTAGTCGCACGGCCAGCGGCCTTTACTCCCACGCCCTGCGCTGGTTGGTTTCCCCGTCGTTTCGTGCCTGGCCTGGTCCTTTCGACGACCACACCTCGTGTAGCCGCCGTCGGAGGGGCTCGCTCGTCGTTCAGCCATACCTCTCCCTCCCTCCCCTGCGAGGCCTTCTGGGGAGGGAGCCAAAAACGGCTCCCCTCGCGACCGTCTTCTTCGCTCTGCTTCTTAAAAGCCTTCGCCCCCCATGACTCTCTCCCTCCCCTCCTCCGCTTCCGAGCAACTGCCATCCACCTCGCCCACACATTCATCTCTCCTCTGCCGGCTTCAACCGGGTTAGAGAAGATCCGCTTCTGCCACCCTACTCTCTATCTCTATCCAGGCATCCTTTCCTCTCGCTCTCCTTTGTCTGCCATGCGGCACTCCCCTCGACCGGTCGGGTCCGACGACGACAGCGGCAGCACCACCGATGTACCGGACATCTTCTCCGACATTGCTACCGATGAATCCTCGGACAGTGCGTCTGAGCCAGACAGTGACGACGACCCGGAAGATCTTTCTGACGACGATTCGATCCTGGATGATGAGGAGGAACGGGAACTCCCTGCGGCGTACTTCTTACAGGAGGCTGAATGTCTCGACGTCTCCCAACTACGGCAGAAACGCTACAGCCCAAGGACCCAGGCTAAGTTGGACGAGACACGGGATTACTGGGACCGGTGAGAAACAGCCGGGATC